GGTTGCTTTTAGTTTATCTTATTGTGATAGAGATGACATGGCTAACAAGCTTGAAAAAATAATTATTAATTTATTATTCTTCAATTGACCTTATAAAATATAAATAGATGTTGAATTGATCGATAAAATGCCTGCTCTAACACGGTTTAGGCCCAAAGGTCAGAATAAATGCAAATTAATGGTGAGACTCTTTTTGATGACTAATGGATTCATGATTAGGTAGCATCTCATTAATGTTGACCATATTTCTACAAGCAACTAAAGGAAGAACTAAAAATAGTTGTTTGTAATTAAGCTTTGTCTAACTAGTTGAGATGTGCCGTCCAATTTGTTATCCACCTAATTACAAACTGACATATCATGAAAAATTAAAATTGATGTTAAGGTTGAAATATTAAAATTGATGATAGTTTTAAATTTCTAAGAAGTGTTAATTTGTAATTGAGTGGACAGCAAATTAGACAACAAAAATGAACAGTCGATCTTAACTCCTGCCTAATAATTCTCACTTTACACTAAACATGACTTAATTCTGCAACCAAAGGAGACAAAATTACTTGTACCTAACTGTGACAAACACTAATTTCTTGATTATCTTCTTATATTTCTAACTAAGAAATGACACCGTTCGCCAATTCCACCATCGGGATAGATGTGACCACTACCACCACCACTTCGATGATAGTTCTCACTCAACAATTACTGTTACTCCGGTGTTGTACTTGAATAAATTTAACTTTCACTTATATCAACATTCTTTTCTATTAAATAGGGCTCACAACAATATAGTTTATTCTTACACATATAAGGATTCTATTGATATGTTACGTATCACCAATAAAAGAAAAATGACGCATTATATTATTTACTTGATTTGGACCCAAATGCCTTCACTAGGAACATCTTGATGAACCACGAATAAAAGATAGTAACCAGGCGGTGCGAGATTTTTAGAACCTGGTGTCACCACTTGAATTTTATATTTTGATAGCCCGATAGCCACAACTTTCCCTCCACCAAGAACCAATAATCTTTGATTCATTGAAAAAGAATGTGTATTAAATGAAGGTGCGACAATTGTCACCATGGCCGAACTTTTATTTAGCCTGCCGGGAGGAATAGTGAACTTAACAGTGAGTTGCTGTCCGTACCCGATTATAGATTGTGAAGCCGGTGAAAATATTTTTGGGCGCAAACTCGCTGATGTTGGATCCAAATACGAAGGTGAAAATGCTTCTAAACTCAAATCCGTTGGGAAGATTTTTATAAAATTGTATTTAGGATGAGGATTGCTACCACCAACAAGAACTCGGCCATCACGAAGCAATATTGCAGTTGAGTGGTACATTCGGGGCGTGGAGCTTGATTTTTGTACTTCAAATCTTGATCCGCTCGGCTTATCGGGATGATAAATAACCGGTGACAAAACCGGATTACGGCCCAAATCCCACCCTGCTGTACCCACTGATGCCCCATTAATAAACAAGACTTTGCCATTTGGTAGCAATACCATGTCACCCATGACTCTAGCCAAAGGCATGGTTTCCATGGCCCACTGTGGATTGAATGCTGTGATTTGAATTCTTCCGCAAGAGCTTAGTGCAGTAACAAAATTACCATTATTTTTTGCACTAAGATATGCTCCTTTTGGTGCACCTCCGCAAACCAGAACTTCAGCTCCAATGGCGCCTCCTTGAAAGTTCTTCAATGGAAGCAAAACAGCAGAACCAGTACTCGGATAATTTCTCGGATCCCCACCTGGCATCGTCGGGTAAGTTTTCACCTCCTTCCGTTTAGTATAATCAAACAAAATAGCTTGATTATTGGCGAAAATGAACAGATTCCCATCGACATTCAGAAATACAAATGGATACAAATTGTTCTCAGCTTTCGGATCATTCGTCCGAGCCAGAAATGGCAAAAAGTATGGTTTATCAACCAAGGGTACTTTCGGGTAAAATTCATAATTAAACTGCAGGCGACCACCGATGATAATTTGCCTCCCGTCCGGTAAAATATGATTCGTGGCATACCATCTTCTTTGTGTAAGGCCATGTTTGAATTCTTGCCAGTCACAATAATAACCGCGACAGGGTTTGTAAACTCTGACAGCATGATCTCCGTGGTTGAAACCGCCAGTTTGTATTAAAGTTCCGTCTAGCATGACGGCGCCGGAGGAGCACCAGGTGTCAGTGAGTAACCTGAGGGGGCGGACGGAGTTGGTGGCGACATCGTACTCCACCGAGTGGGCAGTGCAGTCATTTGGGTCGTTCCCGCATTTGCCTTTGGGAAGTGAGATGTTGGACCGACCGTTATCAGTTCGATCAAAGATGACAACTTTGTCGTTGTTGAGGAGCTGCATGTGCATGGCTGATATGCCAATGTTGGGTAAGAGTAAGTCCCACTTGCCACCGGCGGCGTCTGTGAGAATAATCCGGCAGCATATCAGTAACACTGGTAGTATAAGTAGCTGCCGGAGAAGGAAAGAGAGAATAGGAAGCGTTATCTTCATTTTGGAAGGAATGGTTTAGATGTGTGCGCGTTGAAGGTAGGTTAGGTTGGCTTTAAATCTTTTTTTGGAGAAGGTACAGTAGCAAGAAGCCAAAATCGAAAGAACTCTCGCTCACGAAATGAATACGCTCTGAAATATTAATTATTTGAAAAGATATTTTCTATATTTCCTATTTCGAGGGGAGGGATTGATTGGTTTTCACACACAATTGCCTTGAGTGTGTGTCTATATATACTCATATTTGTATGCATTATAGGTCACACGTGAAGGCATGTGAACCAAAAATCTTGGTACAAATTTGGCTTGTGTGCGTGTTTGTAATTAGTATATGTATAATGTGTGATGATTTTTTATTTTTTCTTATGACGGAGGAACTCGCAACCACTACTCTTCGGGTGCGCACTGAATAAACTCTCGGATTAATACAATAACATGCAAACCACACCAATCAAATAAATCGCACTAGACTAGCTCGATTGCAAAAGTGTTAGTAGGAAGAATCGAACTCGTACCACAGGCTTTCGCGCTCATCTACTCCACCAACTCGACTACCCCATGAGAGTCATGTGTTATGATTATTTGATCATAACATTGATTGTGCCAAAATAAAGTCTTGCAGCAGAAAAAATAAATAAATAAATTTTGCAGACTTTGTTGTCGATAACAATCGAGGATAAACATGTAATATATCTAACAATTTAAGCATTTATAAAAATAAAAGATTGTTCTGATTAGTTATGAAATGTATGGATCTTGACTTTTTCATAAAATGTGTCTAATGGAAAAATAAAATTGTGATTTTCGCTCTCCAAAATGATATTTCATCTTAATAATACGTTTGGTCATATTACAGTTTATGGTAACAATCATGAAAAATAAAATATATCAAAAAAATTCTATGGAATTGCATTTAATAGAATAAAATTAGAAGCACGTATACTGTCATGTATTAATTACTCCTTTAATGACAATATTGTGCAGGAAAGCGTATGAATGCATGCACCCAACAGAATATTCCACACTTGGTTCCAGAACCCCCCAATGTGATTGTTCCGCCAACTTGGATGTGCCCTGGGGGGCAGCTAAATGTTCCTCTTTCATGCATGCATAAAAGTTAATGAAGCCTTGGGATATAACTCAGTGGTGTAAAGGATAGGAATGATGTACTCTCGACCTTGCTGACAACTGCAATGTGAATGTTCGATTTCTGAGATATGGAATTGGATTCTTTGTGGGTACGGACAAGCTCTTGTTTTCTGACCCGTTGGGACACATCATGCGATTTACCTCTCTCGCGATGTTTCAGGAACGGGGTGGTGAGAGTCCTCAAGGTTGGAGTTCAACCTTTTTTCTATAAAAGTTAATGCATTTTCTTCAAATGGTGAAACAAAGAAGAAAAACAATAGTAATTTATTTACTTTTCTATCGAAAAATGGCAAAGGTCACACTCTATGAGAGGAAAATTGGAAAAAAAAAATTCCAAAAAATAACAAAAGTCGCAATCTACTTAACCAATTATGCATTGAAAAATGATAAACGGCTATAAAAAAAAGAGAACAGGTTGATGTAGTGGAAAGTTGGATTTTTATTTTTATTTTTATTTTTTGGAAAAAAATTAAACTCTGTAATCAAACATTGACACGTGCACAACCTCTTTCTAATCCTATTTTTCCGTAGCATCTCTTATGCATTTTCCAATAATGTGAAAAATAAAATTTTACTTGCCCTCGTGAAAATTTTAATCACTCCATGGAGACATGGATTTAGATCACAAAATTGGCCCTCGTTAAATTAAATTTCATTTTTCTCTCTACTATTTTCAACCACATAATCTTTCATAAAATAATATTATATTATTATACATAAATTGAAAACTTTTCACTCTTTTTCAACCACAAAATTTTTCATAAAATAATATTATATTATTATACATAAATTGAAAACTTTTCACTCTTTTTCAACCACAAAATTTTTCATAAAATAATATTATACGTAAACTGAAAAAAAAAAAAACCTTCCATTCTTTATTGACCAAATACTCTCTCAAAAAAAATACTATTCTACTCATTAAAATTTAAAATAATGAGGGCCAAATGAGAACTTGCCCCTATCGAAACGAATTATAAATTTTGGAATATCATTTTTTTGAAGAATGTGTAATTAAAAAGAAGGAAAAGCTTTTGACTTATGTGTAACATTATTTTTATTGGAGAATGTATAATTAAAAAGAAAAGAGATAAAAATATATTATAAATTTAATGTGATTCAAACGGGAGCTAGTCACTCCATGGAGGCATGGCTTTAGATCACACGACATGCGTAATTATTGTAAATATTTTTTCAGAGGGTGGTTTAACATGTGAATATGTTAATTAATTTCAATTAATTATTGATAATACTCCGATGCTTGGGTGTTATCGATATAAAAGTTACTACTCAATCACCATCTAGAATTTAAGAGTACAATCTATCAAGTAAATAGAAATGATTGGTTGGTAAGAGTTGTAGAAATCAATTTCTTCCTGTCTTGATGGATCACGAAATATAGATGTCTCGTCCATAAATAGAAATAGGGGACATCTCCTCATTCTTGACAGGGTCAGGGTCCTTATATATATCTTTTGATCTATTAGAGCATATGTACAAAAATTGTAAACGCGAAGATTTAACACACACAGATGCACAGAAACAAGTGTGCACGAGATTTACTCGAAAATACCAAGGGTGGTCAGTGTAGGACCCAGTTTCTTGATGCAAAATGTATGACCTCGAGTTGATTGATTTTCTCTTCGCTTTATATTTGAGGCATAAACTGATATGCTGTTGTGTATGTAATAGGACCTGAGCACTTGCACCCCCTGGAAAGTAAACAAGATAAAAATATTAAGTAAACTCAAAATCAGTTAAACGTTGCTTTCCAAAATTGTAAGTCACATAATTTAAAAGCACACGGGAAGATTATTTAGCATGTACCGAGTAGTTTAGAACCTATACGATGGGTAACAGTTTTGTACTAATTATAATGGGGTTCATGAATCAGGTCATGTTTTGAGGAGGATAAAGTTCCCATAGCGCCACGGTAGTGTCTTCTGAAGATGATGCCATCAGTTTGCTATCATCTGAGAATGAGACAGCAGTACACTGCAAAACCAGGGAAAAATGTTTCAAACATATAATCACCTGTCATTCTCTGACTATGGATAAAAGTTTTACAAACAGAAAGGTGGAGGAATACAAACATTCGCCAACTAGATGCAGACATCACATATCAGGGTTTTAAAAAAAGAAATCACTCAGTATTGCTTAGTTGATGTCATTTTGAAGCATGGTGCAGGATTGCACACCATTCTCATCAAATTAATTTTTATGTTTTTTATTCCGAAATAACCCAAAACCGTAGGCAAGCAAATCTGAGTTTACATATGAACAAAATTTCTTGAATATTCTAAAAAGGACCTATGATAGTTAGTGTGCCATTCATTCCAAGGGCAGGCACAAGATTGGGTTTTTCTGAGATTTGTTGGAAGTATAGTTTGAAAATGTTAAGACAAAGACCAGCTTGACTAGGGCGTAAGTTGGTTTCCCTTCCCAACAAGTTCAAAAGAGTATTGCTGCTCAATGAAGTAGTAGTTAAATATATTAAGGGAGGATTTTTGCTATTTATATAATAATTGTTTTTGCTCCTTTCTATAAACTTTTCTATTACAAAAACACCATATTTATAAGTCAGATAAATGGTATACTGAACATGTTGCCAAATATTTTGTCCTGCACTTACAGTGTGATAGACATAGTAACTTAGATATTTTACAACAGATTCTACAGAAAGAAAATCATGGGCTCGTGTCTGCAATATGGTGGTGCTAAAATAGATACATCTTGAAACCAAGTTAATCTCAGAGTCTTCATGATAATGAAAGTACTTGCTCTTAAAAAACACAAAGATGTGATCAATTATCAACTGAACAGCATTTGCATTCATGAACCCAGCAGCAACAAAATTTGGATCTCAATTTTAATAGAAAGATCATGTCAAAAATTAATTATTCCAGGCCAGCTAAGGCCAAAAAAAAAAAAAAACACAAAATAGATATAGAGACACATATATACCCTTTCACACACTACTCAAATACAGAAATATGAATTCACTTTGCAAATTAATGGTTTTATATAAAAATTAAGGAAAACATAAATCATTAGGAACATATTCAATATAGGTTTCAATGTTTAATTAATTTTAAACCGCCAATTAGAAATCACAACATACCAAGGCACGATGATATTTCAATATGGCCAAAGCATTTCCTTTGCGATAGTCGTATATCCTCACCCTGTCACCACATGATAAAAAAAATTGTATTGCGACAGTTGCAAAACAACTTATCCAACAAATTGATCATTTAGCAAATTCGCTGAGAATGAATGCACATTTATTTTCCATGACAAATATGAAGATGCAAAATGTTGACTACAGGCTGGCCAGGTGGTTAAGGCTTCAATCTCTCAACAAGTGGTGGTATGATTTTTAAGTCTCAGGGGAGGGAGGGTTACCCCCTCCGTTTCAAGACATTGTAACAAAAAGAAAAAGAGACTAACTTTCAAGAATAACAAGCTGAACTTTAAACTATGAGTTAAATCCATCAATGGACACCCAACTTTATACTTAGTGTCACTATGATCACCCAATTTGATTTTGTTTCACCATAGCCATCTAATTTCTTTTCATCATTTTCACTAATTTTAAAAAGGGTAAAACGGTAACTTTGTATTATATATATAAAAAAAATTAATTTTTTTTAAATATGTTTTTATTTTATTTTATTTTTGTAAACAACTTTTTTTTTAAAATAAGTTTTTGATTTATTTTTAAATAACTTTTTATTTTATGTTATTTTTCTGAGTAACTTTCTTTCTTTTAAAGAATAAGTTTTTGTTTTATTTTAAAAACGTTTTTTTAAATGAGATTTTATTTTGTTTTTCTAAGTAAATTTTTTTAAAGTACGTTTTTATTTTATATTTTTAAGTAAACTTTTTTAAATAAGTTTTCATTTTATTTTTTTAAAATAAGTTTTTATTTGATTTTTTTATATATATAATGCAAAATTACTATTTTACCCTTTTTAAAATTAGTGAAAATGGTGAAAAAAATTGGGTAACCATGATGAAAAATTATATGAAATTGGGCAGCTATAGTGAAATAAAATAAAATTGGGTGGTTATAGCGACACTAAGTATAAAATTGGATGGACAGGATAAAACAAAATCAAATTGAGTGGTGGTGACACCAAGCATATAGTTGGGTGGTCATTGATTAATTTAACCCTTAAACTACAGAAAGACAAGAAATAAAAAATCCCAAAAAATCGCGAACCTTCTACTCATTATACAGGTAGTGACCATCATAAATATATTGTGGCAGCATAAATGATGAAGGAAACACTTCCCTCCTTGCTTGTAATTTCACTAACAGTAAAATTCTAAATTCTAAATCAACGTCTTCACAAAAAATATACTATTTAGCACTTGTTATCAACTAAACTCGAGCATCCTATACTACATAAGAAGGCCATTTGATACACACACCCCGAGAGAGAGAGAGAGAGATCTTATCACTAACCTGTGGTCCCAGCCAGCAGTTGCAATAATTTTTCCATCTGGCCGGATCGAAACTCCTGCTATGCCAGGTCTCTCCAAAATAATTTCTTTCTTAACCAAACAAGAACCCTGAGTGCAAAAAACAACATAATTTCCGGGAGAAGTTACCAATAATGCAATAAAGTAGAATTCTTTGAAGAGCAACTGTGACTTTTAGGAATTAATTCTTCACATAAAATCATTATCAACCAAATGCTCTCTCTTCGCTGCAAAACCAAATTGGCATGCACTCAGTCAATTAGTAAGGACCTTATTTCTAAATGAAACCGATATCATTTGACAAGCTAAATGCTGACATTTTTGCCGTGAACATGAAAGTTCTCTGTTTTTGCTGTAATACGCTTTTAGCATTGATAATTACTTAAAAATTGGATAGAAGATGCTTTAAGTTATAATTACCATTGAAGGAACCAAAGTAAATATTATGACTTTGTCATCGGCAGCTCCAGAGACCCCTCCTCTGCATGAATTATCTACACATGAGCTTAGAACTGCAGAAAAAGCAGCAATTTTCGTGAAAATTTAAAAGACAAGATAAGAAAATTATTGTCTAGAAAACCATGCTGGCAACATCACACCTGGTTCAGAATGAAATTTGACAGAAGTCAATGGCAAGGCTGGATTCCTTAAATCCCACCAAACCATGGATCCATCCTCATAACTATGAAATTAAAGGAAAAAATGTTAAGCAAAATTTATACTAATACTTGAAGAAATGATGCTATGCAAGTTTAACATATATCCATTTCATGTGTAGTTCTTTACAAAAAGCAATACATTGAGCATTATTTCTTCCATCGTCTTTGAAACTATACCAGAAACCAAAACTTGACAAAATAGCCATGACAAAACACAAACATGCAATTGTATTGAGGAAGAGCTAAAATATCTTAGCAGTCATGTAAGTGAAACTGTTCAAACTGTTTACAATTTCTAACTTTTCTTTCTCCTCCTCTCCCCTTAAAAATCAAATACTTGAGTAGATAAAGAAATTCAAGAATGGGGTATGTATTTTGGCAAAATGAGATTGTCCAACATCTCTGCAAGTAATTTTGATTTAGATCATGACAGACAACAAGAGCTACTGACCTTAAGGTAACAGGAAGATGGGATTGATCGGTGTTTCCCAGGATGAACACCCCACCCCAAGAAAAAAAAAATTATTTGAAAATACGAACTTTTTATTTGGAAATTTTAATTTTACATATTAGCCCAGCCTAAATTTTTTTTAAACCCCCCTCTAGCTCTGCCCCTAGGATTTATATATTAGACATATTTGGTATAGAATGCACAATCTCTTGAGCTACATTTGAGAAAATGTCTAACATGGCTGTTTTTCTTTTCGGTTACAACCGTGTCAGGTGAATGAAAAAAATCAAGATCTTGTTATTTTTTCTTATTCCTGTCTTAGGACAAACAAGCTAGACGGTTTCTATCAAATAATTTATCCTTGAAATTCAAAAAACAAGAAATGTTCATCAAGCATACTAAATGCTGCGTAAAAGTATTGGTTTTCTCAGATTCCAAGCTTCGGGCATGTGAGGCATACAACGACAAAGATAACACACAGAAAATGAAGCACACAACTTTGAGGAATCTAAGTTCCATGGTAACTGCATGTAAACTAAGTCAAAATCCAGGAAATGCAAAATTCGCTCCCTAAGCATATTCAATCACAACTAGATTGAAATTACAGAAAATAGAGAATCCGTTGGTAGTAAGAATGTTGATATACTATTGACATCTCTGTATACTGACCCAGATAAAACATTTAGATGTCCCTGTGATTCAGAAGGTAAAAAAACTTGAACTGCCAAGCACATTCCTGGGGAAAAACAACAAATAAATAAGGGATCAATTTTTCTGTGTAAACAAGAAGCGAGTATGGAAGATTAGGTACCACCACATCATACTTGAACTCTACTAAAGCTAACAGAGACAAAAACCAGAAAGTGACCAATAGACAGAGAATTTTAAAGAAATACATTTCCAACAGAGAGGAAAAGTAGAATCTGAAACATTCTGATAAAGCACATAATTGGGTTATTTCCACAAAAAAGGATTCACTCTTCATTAATCAAAATGAGGGGAAAATTCACCATTAGCTTTCTTCGGACAGTTTACATTCTTCGTTTTAGTTGAAGTAATAACTAGTAGTCTAGCAATTTTGATCTTTTCAAAGTTACAATGAACATAATAGGTCATTTTGGGAGGCTCTAGTTTAGTGGCTATAGATTGAAAACCATAACAGGGTTCCTCATTTCTTTCTCTCATTCGACCACGCATGAGATTTTCATCCCATGCAAACGAGTGAGTTGAAAAATGTAAAATATGGCTCTTTAATCTCTAAAGTAGTTGTACAGGATATGTCGAGTGCATAAACATAGTTACATAAATCAAGGTTATATAACTTCTTGAGAACAGGAAAATATATAAAACACGAACCTCTTGCCTTTGTAGACTGATTCAAGGAGCCAACAGAACAATGAGGCAATTGTATAAGCCTTTCTGCTGCATTGAGATCCCAAATCTCGACCTACCCATATAAATACAAATACATGGTTGTTTTTTTAGTGCAATTTCAACTGAAACAACCTCAATAATGAAATATGCATTGTCATATAGGCTACACTAACCACAGAAGTGTCTTCCCCAGCAACAGCAACATATTTGGGTCCTTCAATTTGATCATCGCCTGATAAAAATATGTCCATTAATCAAGATGATGAACATCCACCAAATTATGTTTATGAAAATACAAATAAGCTTACAAAAATCTAAAACATAAATCAATCATATAACCTCCTTCAACTTGTGTTGAGCTTTCCGATTGACTTCCCAGAAAGCTTTCACTGTCTTTAGAGTCTTTCCTGTCCTCCACGTCCTGATTATTCTTCAGGACTTCAGATTGTTTAATTTTAGCAGACTGCTTGCTTAACAATGAAAGCTTGCAGAAGTGGTAAGAATTTGTTTTAATTGAAATTAATGGGTTCCTGTAAACAAAAAATTATCTTAAGATACCTCTATAGATGTCGAACTTTACCTGCTCAAACAAGGGATTACAAGAATACTAAATTATGGCTGGAGGACAGTTAAGCATGAATGTGCCAAAATAAAATCTAGCAGATTATCTTACCAGAAAGGTACACTAGAATTGCTTAACCAAATCCAATGCATCTAGTCAAACAGATGTTATTTGTTTCTTAAAGTAGCTACAAAAATTGCACACCATTCAATTTCTTGTCTTATGGCCATTAAACAAAATTAAGAACTTGGGATGAGAATTTAGCCCCTGTTGGCTGTTGGACAACCATTAAAATGTAACTCTTTTTTCTCAAACTTATTTTCAACAACAAATTCTCACAATAAAATATTTTGCACGTAAACCCAGAATCTTCCATACTTTTAACCATACATTCTACAAGAAATCAGTATTCCAAAACTCATTCCCCCCACCCTGCCCCCTGCCACAAAAAAAAAAAAAAAGTGTCGTCGAACAGGGGCTTGTATTGAAACCCAATTAAGAAAATGGTCATAAACTAAAAGGCAAGAGGTGGCAACTAAAAGCTTTCTCATGGAGATTTGACATTTGAAGAAATTTAGGGCCACCAAAGTATTTTTGCTTCTATCACCACTGCGGAACTGATACTGTAACTCAAAGATTAAAAAATTACTAGCATCAACTTTGGTCCATGTCACACAGTTACCATATATAATAATGATTATGGGTAACCTTTTTTTCCTGAAACTATACTTTAGCATATTTCATTAGATGTAATTTTCCAAGTTATTTTAACTGTGGATGATGAAATTAAATTATAATTCTAGTCTTCTACAATTTATTTTCATAGAATAAATTTGGTAATTTTGTAGTGTTATGCAAATATAACATATTTACGTTCAATAAACAAAATCTTTTTTCATTAAGTACATGGCACCTAGAGCTCAGTGTACATAGGAAGGAAGCAATTAACTATTTCTAATAGGCATTATCAAAATTTCCAGCATTTTTAGCAATTGTTCATCACTTGAAGACATTCATTTCTTAACTCGTTGAACTACTAAAGTGGTGCCTTCTAGAAAAGAACAAGGTTGAAGCACTGTGACGTTTTTTATTTAAAACTTGGCAATGTTCATAGGAAGGAAGATGCGCCAAAGAAGGACAAAAATTTACTGAAGTATTGTCGCTCTTAGTGCTAAATGAAGCAGATCCAACAACAGATCAAAGTATCATGTGCTATGTGCACGCAACACGGACATGACACGCCAACACGTGATTTTTTGGAAAAATAGAACATGGACATACTGGGGACATGTCCGAGGTGTGTTGTGTGTCAGAGAATGTATGATAACAATGATTAACTTAAAGGCATTAAAACATGATTATCTCAGGCTGAATGTTTGGGAAGAAGGCAGGGCGATGAGGATGCTGCCATGTCCCTGGTTTCTCCGTGTCTCCATTTACTTCCCTTTTACACCTTGCACACAGGACGTTTTCGTCCTTTTTTGGTTCTTTCCCTTTGACTTGTTCGAAGACACTGGGATGTGTTTTAGTGTCTTCTTCTCCATCGTCTATGACCAACTTGAATTTTGGCAACTTGTTCTTGAACCCAGACGTTACCATATTTACCCCAAGTGGCTGTGGGAAAGGATTCTCGTCCACTGCCATCTTTTTCTTATCGTCGAACGTAATTCGTCCTGATTCAATAGCATCCTGCAATACGTGACGGAAAACCAAGCAATTGTTAGTCAAATGTGACCATGCATTATGCCACTTACAATATTTTTTACCCTTTATTTGTTCAGGGTTTGGCAATTTGTGCTTATCCCTCAACTTTATTTGCTTATCCCTATATAATTTATCGAATATAAGGTCTTATCCCTATATAATTTATCGAATATAAGGTCAGCTTTGGTCACATCGAACGAGAACGTTCTAGCCTTTATGTTTCCATCCTTTATGGGCTCATCTTTACCCGATGGTCTAGGCTTGGCCATTATGGGACAAGTATAGGTATCCCCTTTTACTAATTCGGCCAAACACATTTCGGCCTGATCGTATGATTCGTCATCGATGGTATGAACGTCAAAATTTGGGTCTCTGTAATAAGTCCCTTTACTAGTCGCTCATACCTAATCACATTTGCACTCAACTAGAAAAGGTCTGGAAATTTCTTGTCCTGGAACTTCTTTTTTAAATCAAAGCTCAAGCAACCTTGTGCGATCTTGACAAATTCTTTTTCGGGCAGAGGTACAAAACACTTGCTTCTTGCTGTTTTGAACCTTTGGAGAAAACTTTCTGCCCATTCATTTGGCATTTGACGTAGATTCGCCAAATCAACCAAAGTGACTTCAGATTCAGTTTTATAAAACTGAGCATGAAACAACTGTTCCAGTTGTTGCCATGTTTGAACAGAGTTTGCTGGCAAATTGATGAACAAGGAGAAAGCTACCCCTGTTAACGAATTAGGGAAAAGTCTCATTTTATGGTAATCGGTTACATCACCACTTTGCAACGTGAATCGCCCTATGTGTTCTAGAGTAGACACCTCTCCTAAACCAGTAAACAGTGAGAATTCTAGCACTTTATACCCTCTAGGCCATGGATATGCTTGGTCTCCCAATCGGGATATGACTTTGTGTATGTCGGCCTAATGACAGGATGCACCCCAAAGGCCATCTGATCCTGCACGATTTCCATGATCTGGTTCCTCAACATGACATTGAGATCATATGGAATTCCTACAGGCTGGTTAACCAGTTGATTTGCATGAGGTCTAATGTTTGGTCCTTGATTGGCAACAAAATTACCATAATTAGGTCCATTACCGTTAGCCTGGACATCGTAAATTGATAAAAAATATTTGAAAATGGAGGAAATATTTTAAATTTATGTGCAATATTATTTTAATAAAAAATATGTGGTTGAAAAATAAAAAGAAAAAAATATATTTTAAAAAAATTGGGTACCAAACAGGCTATAAAATGTAGATAATGTGATAGATTTTTTCTTATAAATAAATTGATAATTGCTAATTTCTTCCTTGTTTGGTTTCTGGGAATTCTGATCTACTGAGAGCCCAGAGGCTTCTTTCATCAAGACTTGGGGATTCCCTCTTATAAGGATCAATCGTATTATTTTAATTCTCAATTTTTTTATTTTATTTTTTGCTCCCATTCTCACTCTCATTTTTTTTTCCTCTCTTATTTTCAATCATACAATCTTACATAAAATAATATTACACGCAAATGAAAAATATTTCGTTCTTTTTTAACTACACATTTTTTTGAAAAACACTATTTCAATCATTAAAATTTGAAAAGAATGAAGGCCAAACGAGAGTTAAAAAAAGCAACCTAAAATTTTATAAGCTGCTCTATATTTTTATCTTTATTCGATGTGAAATTTTAATATCTTCAATTGGTTCGGGTGGAAATATATGGAATTAAGATTAATATCATGAGGCATGCCACTACCATTATTTTGATTTGGCACTGTAGTACCTCCTTGGTTTGAAGTAGAGGGACCAGAAAGCAACTCCACCCCTTGATTCGGATTTAGGACAGAGGGATTATGTCCCACAATTGTCCTAGTTTGAAAGTGGTTTGTAAGAGGTATAGCCGGTTGACATATCTGGCCTACTAACTTATTCATTGTTTCGTTTAACGTCTTTAGCTGTTTGGCCATATTGTCATAGTGTGCGTTTCCATTTTGTGTAAATCTTTCCATATTATGAATACTTCGAAGATTTACCTGTTCAACGATGTCTTGCGTGAGTTCTCCAAGCAATGCACGCATGGTTCGAGGACTCAACTCCGTCATTGGTTCGTAATGACTGTTACTGCTCTGATTTTGTCCATCTGTTCGTGGAGAGGCATGCTGCTCCTCATATCGCTCGATTACAGACTGGATTCCTCCCTGACTTGCTCCTTCCTTGTCGGATCTCTGAGGCATATTGTTTCACCTTTTGTATTTTCAACACCTAACACCACTGTCCCATAGGACGTGCCAAATTGTTTCGCGCGGGTTAAGTCGTTAACAATTAAAAAGGGTCAGACGATTGTGTAAGGGACGAAACCTCTTGAGACAAAGTCCCAAAAAGGGGTATTCTTTTATTGGCGATGGACTTTACAATTGGGAATGAAAAACAACGTGCCTCCAAGGGGCGCAAGCACACGAGTTACAGAAAAATGTTTAAGTCTAAAAGCTAAGGAAATGAAAATTACATATTCTCTGTTCGAGGGTTTTGGATTCGGTCCTTTGCTTCTTCGTCCTTTCTCCCTTTTATACCTCCTAGACGATCTCTTTGTGATTAACTACCCTGAAAACTGCTTGATCGTCCTATAACTTCCCACTTTCTTTGTAGTGGCCATTTTGTCATGAAACTGCCTCTTAACTGCTGCCATTATCTTTCATCGTTCAACCGCTTTCGATTAAATTCCTTGAGTCGTGGAACGTGATAATGCTACTTTAACAACTGCCTTGATAACTGCATTATTTAATAACCACGATGCGTTATATTTGTTGATACCTTGGGCGACTTGAAGGTTTGGGTGAGAGTGGAATAACAGCTCTGGGCGACCATATGACACCCCATTCGTTCAGATTCTGGGCGACTGGCAAACTTGGGCGATGGCGTCACCGCATTCTTGGGCCCCTTATTTGGGCCTTCACCCTAATTCGTTTGATTGGACTTCGTTCTTTGGGCTATCTGATTTGGGGATCCTTCAATTGGGCTTTATTCTTTGGGCTGTTCGATTTGGTCTGAATTTTTATGTGTCAACAGTTCTCAAGATCCATAGGATCGAATTCCCAATGCCCAAACCCGATCATCATGTCACGATGAAAGGACTCAAATACTCCTTGCTGAGTCGCATATTCCTATACACAAGCACTGCTCAGTTTTGAAGCATTTTGAAGAATATATCTTGGTATATAATGCGCATTCGCCAATGTACTGCAACAACAACAACAAAATCAGTACCTTTTTGGTCATTCTTCCAGCTATTTTGGAAACAATTTTCAAATCAGGGGCCGAAAGATTAGGTTTTCCAGCCGTAGCACTAGAAGCAGGAAACCATATCTGAGTGTTCCACCAGTATACGAGCCATGGCGTATAGTGTGCCACTCGAAGTGCCCACTGGTCCTCCAAGGGCTGTAGATTGTATGCTTCTGAAGATAAGTTTGCAGGAAAACTAGACCACCAGTAATTGATAACTGGAGCAACCAATGCTGCTCCAGCCAACCTGCCAGCATATAAGAATTAAAGAAACTAAAAGAAAAGGTGACGAGTTTGAGGTGTCATAAAAATTTTACTAACAAATTTGAATTATGTCTTAAAGTTTTAACCTCCTGTAACTTAATTACGGCAATTTCCATATTTGTCAGTGAACGTGGAACAAACCCAAAAGCAACATGGTGTACTATCTATCCTCAGGAGACGTTATTTTTCCCAAAGCGCATGTTTATTTAGTAAACACTACCATATGATAAACAAAATTCGATTTTTTCCCCATTGATATTGTTCTCTGCCGTCTCACCAAACATACCAATGACGTTATTTTTTCTTATTAGTTATTATAGTAACTATGTATCTGTCCATGTAAATCAACGTTCTTTGTTTTCTCCAATTTCCTCAGCATCCTAAACTGTAAATCTTTGCAAATACCAGAAGCTCGATCATAATCGATTTACCTACACAGTACCTGTGAGGAATGTACTTGAGGCAGCCCCAGACAACCAGTCCTCCCATAGAAATCCCCATGACATGAAATCTGGCACCAAGTTGTAATTGTTCACCAAGCTCTTCTATATCTAAAGCTGTGCTCTTTATAGTTCGTTTCGGATCCGGATTGCTCTCTCCATAGCCTGGTCTGTCAAAGGCAACAATGTATATCCCAAGTTCTTCAACTAATGCCTAAAAGGTCAAAAGATACACCTAATCAATATAGCAACCACAAAATTTTAGTTGATGAATCAAGAAATTTTACTAATTTAATGACCAGTTATTATAATACCGATGTAGAAAAAGAAGCGTCATGTCGACTACCGGTGTAGCCATGAACCATTACAATCTTATATTTAGCTGTTTCTTTGGGGACTCCATGCTCTTTATAAGCCAAATATCTTCCATCTCTAAGCTTTACTCGGGGTGCTGTGACAGGTGGACCACCTAGAGAACCACAAATACGGGGAGGTGGAGGCCAAAAGGCCTGTCGTGCCCATGCTAGAAAGCCAATCAACAAGACTACTATGATTTTCCAAGACATTGCTGAAAATATGTAACAGAATATAATCAATATTTCCTGTCCAAGTATGAGAATTTATTGGTCATTTTTCCCAAAAATATGAGACTGTAGGCACCATTTTGCAGAACGATTTTGTCAATTGCCAAATTATAGTTGTCACTTTCGGCAAATAAATTTAAGACCTGCTATTCAGTTAAAATTATCCACTCTCAATCCCAGGTATGCATGTACTCCTGAAAAAAGATCACATACTC